GGAGGTACTAGTGTGCCCATCACCCCCATTCTCCAGCCTTGGCTCTGCACCCCAGAACTCCAGGCCACAGCCGACAGGGACTCTAAGGCCCCTTACTCTTATTCCCCAGCTCTCCCTCAGTACCCACCCGGCACTCCAAAGTCACCCTCCTCCCCGAAGCCCCTTGAACTCTGCATACAATCCCCGAAACTCTGCACTGCATCCTCCCACTCCCCACATCTCTGCACCTTCACATCCCCCACCTTCCCTCTATGCATTCTCCCTCCTCCTCTACACACTTCTTCCCAACCCCTGGCTCCCCAGATCTCTGCTTGCCTCTCCCCATCTCCTTCATTCTCTGAATTTCCACATCCACCCCGCACCTCTCACCAACCCCTCTCCCGACACACCAGCTTCCATCACACACCTGATCCCATCCCCCACCTCCCCTCATTCCCACACATCTCCCATCCCCCACCTCCACTCATCCCTCTATCCACTTTTCCCCATCCTCCAGTCTCCCAATCTTGGCACACTTCCTCTCATCCTTCACCTCCTCTTGCACCATCCCATCCCCTTTCCCCCACCTTCTCCCACCCCCCAGTCTTTGCACACCTGCCCCGCCTCCATGTTCCTCTCCCCCACTCCCCCAGGCTCTCTGCCTTCCTCACCGAACTCGGCAAACGTCTCCTTTCTTGCAGCTGATGAAGAGATCGCTGGTGTCCATGGCCCGGAGCGCTCATGACCCGGTGGGTTCGGGCTCGGCGGGGGTTCGGGAACACTTCTGGAGGTGGCGAAGGCGGCGTCGGCCCTTCCCTTTCACGGCCTTTCCTCGTCCCAGTCCCGGGGCGGATGTAAACACTGCAGGCCTGAAGGCCCGGCTCCGCCCCTGGGGCGGGGCGGCCGCTGCGGCGGCTGGAGCCCGAGGACCAACGACCCTGTGCCCTCACGCCGGGTTCTAGGTGCGGGAAGCCCGGACGGGTTCTAGAGCGGCGGCTGCGGCGGTGTTCTAGGCTGCGCGGCGTGGGCCGGAAGGGAAAACTCCCGCCCCCACGAGATTATAAGTGCCTTCCGAAAGGCAGGGGCCAGAGCACCCGGCTGACTGACGCACGGACGTGGTGCCAGAGGACGTGGGTTCGAATTTATGCTCTGCAACGTGGACCTCCGCCAAGTCACCGAACCTCTCCGGGCCTCAGTTTCTTCGTCCGTAATAATAAAAGCGATGGACTAGAGAATCTCTGTGGTCCCTTCCAACCCCAAATGCACGATCCCCCGAGTCCTGTGGGATTCGCCAAAATCACTGGTCTCAAAAATGAGAGGCTAGATGACCTGTGAAGCCCCTCAGCTCTATGACGAAGGAGCTTCACTTTGCACGTCCTTCGAAATTGTTGTGGTTAGCTTGTATCTTTCCACAACGAACCAAGTGTGCTTAATAAATGTTTATTGTTGCTGTTTTGTATCTCATCCAGCCCCTAGTAGATCCCTTGCTCTTGGCAGGCACTTGACGAATGAGTAAATTCTACCATTCAACGCCGACTAGAGAGCCGGCTCTATGGGGCCAGAGGTTATGGGGTTCTGCAATGGTGGGCTCTGACCACGTTTGGCCACCTAAAGATCTGGCATGGATATAAGATTGACATGTGGGTTTAGGGGCCTTCTTCCCCTTTCCATCTCCAGCCCAGTTACTACAAGGCCTTGGGCTCAGCTGGGTTTCACCTAATTCCTTCCAGGGTTTTCCCCCTCCCAAGGGTACCGAAAGAGCCCAAAGCTGGCAGGACTCAAAGGAATCAATCTCTAAATGATAGAATTCCAGGGCCAGGATAGGCAAGTTAATTAAGCTCATTCATAGAATGTTGGGTCTTTAGAGATTGTCTAGCCCAGACCTCCACATTTAGCAAGAAAGGTGAAATGATGTGTCTAAAATAGCACAGTTAGTTGGTGGTGGAGCCAATTTACACCCACAGCTCCTAACTTGCCAGTCCACATCCTTTCTACCATAACACAAGGTCTTTGGAAGACAATACCTTAAGCCCAGGGTCCTCAAATTATACCTCGTTGGCCAGCTTTGAGGAGGGTAGAATAAGGGAGACTGCAGCAAAATACCTGGTGGGGGTCCGGAGGAGGCCACTGATATATCAAACCCACCTTAGACACCCCTGTCCACCCTGGGAATGTGTCTGCACTAGGTAATCTTTGGTGACCTTAGAGAAGTTTCAGGGTCTGCCCAGGGCACCACAAAAGAAGCTTTCTGAGGTTGAGTTTCTCCAGGAAAGGCCTGATTTGGTGGTTTGGGGGTCAGATGAGGACAGATGCAAATGCTGAGGCCTTAGCTCTCTAGTGGAGACAAGAACAAGAAATCAGAATTGAAGTCGGAAGAGGCCTCAACAGCCATCTGGTCCAAGCTGGACCCAAAAGGAATGCCCATTATCATCCAGCTTCTCCTAAGACTCTCCCAACCTCCCAAGCCAGCCCGATCCACTTTGGGATGGCTCTTATTGTTAGGAAGTTCTTATTGGCATTGCCTAAATTTGCCTTTTTGCCACTTCTGCCCCATTATAATTAGTTCTACCCTGTGGGGCCAATTCCCACAGGCCAGCCCTTCAAATACTCCAAGATAACTATCCTGTTCACCTTGAGGCTAAACAATCACAGTTCCTCCAGGTGAGCTTGCTCTCCTTTGGGCACTCTCTACTGTAATCAAGCAATAAAGCACCTACTGTGTGCTGGGCTGTAAGAAGCACTAGGGATTAAAAAAAAGGGAGAAAGAGAGTCCACAGTCCCTGTCCTTAAGGAGCATACATCAATATCCTTGTTAAAAACTGGCACTTGGGGCTGAACACAATGTTCCAGCTGTTATCTGACCAGAGCAGAGGGCAGAGGGATCGTCATCTTCATATTCCTGGAAAACATGTCTTCTTTTAGCCCAAGCTCACATTAGGTTGTTTTGTTTTGTTTTGTTTTGTTTGGGGGGGGGCTTCTACATCACATTGCTGACTCATACTGAGCTTGCAGGCCCATCAAGAATCCCAAAACTTCTTCCTACAAATAGCTATCTAATCATGCCTCCTCCCCACTCTCCACCCATCCCCATCTTATACTTTTCGATGTTGATTTTGTTTAACCCAAGTGTATACATTCATCCCTATTGAATTCGTATTAGATTCAATCCAGTGTTCTAATCTCTCAAGGTCTCTTTGGATCCTGTCTCTATGACTACACCTCCTCTCCTCCTCCTTGATAGTCCAGGAATGCGACATCTATGCAAAGCAGGGAAGTGTATCCTTCTTCTATTCTACTCCCACATACCCACAATCTCCTGGAGGAGGCCCTTATGCCAAATCACATCTCTGGGAGCAACGGTTTCTATCCCTTTCCTCTGGCCAATGATGAAATCTTCCACTGACCCAGCCAAGGATCCTATCAGTCAGCTAAGTCCCTCCTAGCTTTGTGTCATCTGTAAAGTCAAAGAGCACGCCACCTGTGCCTTTGCCCACTGACAAAAATGTTAAAAAGCACAGGACTAAGGACAGAGCAAAAAAGCCCTCCCCTGGAGACCAGTGGTCAAGTGTCTCTAGTCATCTAGTTCCAATTCATCTGTATTGTATTACTGTCTAGTTCACATTTCTTCATCTTTCCTACAAAAATAGTATGAGGGACTTTGCTAAAATCCGGATAAACTCCTGCATAAACAAACATACCCTTCTTGATCTGCTAGTTTGGTAACTTTGTCCAAAAAAACCCAAAACATGGCCTCATTTCATGCCAAAGGGAATAGGGTCTTCCAAATTAGAGACATTAGTATGATCTATGGCCCTTCCCAAGAGCTAGAAGGAGGTAGTTTGGGGACAATGGAAGATATACCTGTGTGTTGCAGTAGAGTGTAAAAGTCTTTGAGGACGGAGAGCTACTTCAACTGTTGTCTAGGTAGCCACAGTGCCTAACACGTAGTAGAGACTATGAATATCTGTTAAGTTGGAAGTAGAGTCCTTTCTCTACTGATCCGTTGTGTTATCTTGGGCAAATCACTTCTCTGTGCCTCAGTTTCTTTCGCTGTAGAATGAGGGAGTTAAATTATCCCGAAGATCCTCTCCCAGCTTGGCCATTCTATGACTCTGCTGGGGTTGAAAAGTAGAGGACCTCAGGGGTCACATAACTTGCCCGAGTCACACAGCTCGTGAGTGGAAGAATTTGAACACAGGTCTCTTGACTACGTCAAGTACTCTCTCCCCGAAAGCCAGACCTTTTCCCCAACCTGATCTAGGATTGAGGCCATAAATAATGACCTCTAACCTTGCTTCCGCCTGTTTCCATCACCAGGTGGGCGGCTGGGTTGGACGGAGTTATGGCGGGCTGGCGGGGGGGGGGAGGTAGTTTGGGGGGGAAGTGTAAAGAAAGACCCCACCCCCACCCCTTAAAGGGATTTGTGTTCGCTCACACTCCAGGAGAGTCATCCAATTGAGCATGCGCAGCTGCCTGATCACCCACTGGGCCGGAGCTAGGCCCAACTGAGCATGTGTAGACCTGGGAGGGCGCTGTGACTAGGTGATCTCTTGGGAAGCGTTCAGGGACGCCCTCCGAGGCGCCCACCCCACCCTCTTTCCCCCGCCCCCGCCTCACAGATGGGTCCCCTCTAACGAATAAAGAAAATACATCCCGAACCCACTGTCCCCCAACCCCAAACGAGGATCAGCTCTGGGGATCTGCAACCCCAGGAGTTACGATGAATGCCGGCTCTTGTGGGCGGGGCCTTAGGTGTTGGCAGCTGTGCGCATCTTGTGATTGGCTCCTGGCTCTCTGACCGGGCCGCCTCCTCACGAGGCCCCGCCCCACACATGCACACAATCTCCTGTACAAGGCTCTCCTGCCAAACCAAAGCTCTGGGCGCAAGGGCCGCTCTGTCCCTGTCTCTGGCCAAGGCCAGCTCTTGCTATCATGATTAGCCACTTCCTTGGGCATAGGAGTGCCCGATGACCTAGCTGCCGAGGAGAAAAGGGACAGGAGGCACATTTCTGCTCAGCATCCTTAATCCAGGGTCAGTTTAATCAGTTCCACGGTGCCCGGAGGAGAGCTGACTGGGAATAGGGAAAGGATGTCATCTGCCCTTTCCTCCCCCCTCCCACCCCCACCCTCAAAAATAAATAACAGCAGCTTCCACCTTCAGGCACCTTGCCTGGATCCCTGGATCTCTGCCTGCCCTGAAGAGCTTGGAATAAATCACAGCTGTTACCGGGGCCATATGCAGTGATTTTGGAGAAACCACCCATCAGCAAATTGCGGTCGATTAATAGCGTATAAGAAGTCAGCTTGGCAAAAAAAGAATAGTAAGAAGTCAGCTTGGCAACAGCACAACAGATCGAGGGTGTCCAGAAGTGAAGCATTTTTTCTCTAACCCATGTTTGGCAAAGCGGCCACGCAGGATTTGTGGGCTGGTTCATAAACTTGGACCAAGGGAAGTAGTAGTGACCTCTGGGATACCTGGGGACAAGGGGTGCTCCCAAAGGAGAAGGGGCAGCCTCATTTGCTAGCTTTCCCATCCGGTCCACACCAGCAAAGGGGAAATGAGGGCTTGTCGTGCTAAAAGCTGTGAGAAGCAGAGTGGGCTGCATAGTCCTAATCCCTGCCAGGCTTTGGGCCCACCCCGTCTGTGCTTTGGGGTTAGCCAAAGCAAGATGTGGGAAACTGAGGTGCAGGAAGGAGGTGGGGGAAGGGGTATAGCATATTCGGGTTTCTGGTGGAACAGAAAATGAAGGTTGACCTGGACTCTCTTTTCTCTTTGTCCCAGGTGCTCAAGCCTGACAGGGTGATGTGCTTACATTGTAGGTTCAGACACAAACTCTGTCATTACCCACAAGGATCTTCTTTCAGGGGCCCCTTCTTCACTTCATGAATCAAGAGTTAAGCAAGGGGAGTTCCCCACCTTGGAGATGGGTGAAGATCAAATCATCAGCTCTCTGCTTGGGATGCTCAGGGCCAGCAAAGAGGTAGATGCCAGGCTGGGAGGGAAGGGTGAAAGGTGATTTAGAGGAAGAGGAAAGAGACATGACCTAGTGATGGGCTTTGAGCAGAATAATACAGATTTGAGTATTTCTCTCTCCGACATACCTGACCTGACCTGAACATGTTTCACTCACACCCCGTCAACAATATCACTCTGGTTTCTTCCAGAGTGTTGGTCCAAAGTCCTGGGGTGGAAAGAAAGGAGTATGCCTGGTAATGGTGGAGGGGAGGGAGGGGACTGGTCCCCCCACCCAATTCACAGGTGTGTGTCCTCCTCAAATCCATCAGAGTCTTCAGGGTGTCTCTTGCCCCCCATCAGCACAGTCCAGCCCCCAGGCTTGGCCGTGCTGCCCCCATTCAGGCTCGGCTGCTTCTCCTGCATCTCTGATTGGCTGTCGCTGGCCACATCCAATGTGGGGTTGTCATGGCATCCATTCTCCACAAAGCGAAGTTCTTCTCCGTGGGCCTGAGGACGAGATAAGAAAAACCAAAGCTGTTAGAAAGAGACTCAAGGAAAAATCCCCTCAGATGCCTCCTGAACTAAGAGGAGGGAAGATGGATGAGCAATCCCAGGCCAGCCAGGAGAACAATGATGACCCCTCTTCTCATGGACCTGCATCTTTCTTGTCCTACAGCACTTGACTAGGACTTAAGCTTCCCACCACCTCACTAACAGCAGCCTTCCATTTCGATAGTGCCTTATAGTTTTCAAAACACTTCCCATGTACTCTCTGATTGTATCCTCACCACAGCTCTGTGAGGTAGGCATGGCAAGTGCTATGGTGATTGGAACAGGCTCACTGGTAGGTGGCACTGCCTGGGACTGCCTGGCCTACAACCAGGTCTTTCAACTCAACAGTACTCTTCAGACCTAGCCCACAACAGGAGTGGCCTCCATGTACCCTTCCTCTTGCCCCTTTTGGGAATCTTCTTGGAAGCTTGGATCTCTTCCTAGGCCCTTTGGAATTATTCTTGGTTATAATCTGAACACCCCCCCCTCCTCTTTTCCCATTTCTTATATTCCTGCCTGGATTGATCAGGAACCTGTTCCCTTTCTGGACAAACCAGCCCTCTCTGTGTCCAGCAGCTCCTTCTCAGGATGCAGTTCTTTCCCTGGTAAGCCTCATCTCCAGCTCACTACACTCCATCATGGGAAGGACACAGGAGCTCGGCTACCCATTTTTCTCTCCCCTTGCTCTTACCTCAGATCAATCACATGAACTGTCATAAGGCAGGAGATGAGAATGTCCAGCCATGAGAAAAAGCCAGTTCGTGATGTCACCCCTGCCTGAAACGCCCTCCTCTCTACCAATTCAAATCCTACCAGGGCTTTAACCCCTCTCCTCCATGAAGTTCTTGTCTCTTGCTATGGAGGCCCACAGGGTTTCACCATGACATCTCCCCAGAGTACTTAGTGTCTATAGCATTTGTATGCCTCTCAATCACATACGGCTGTGTACTGCCCCTCAGCCTAGCCTCTTCTACTACACTGTAAGCTCTTTGAGGGGGCAGACCACGTACCTTGTTCATCTTTGGCTCCTCTCCAGCACTGGGCATTCAGCAGAGGTTCCACAAAGATCCGCTGAATTGAAGGAGGATCACATCCTCCCTAGTCCCAGCCCATGACTGAGTAGCTCACCCTTCAGCCCACTCCCCACTTCTCTGGCCATCGCCTGCCCCACTAACTTGCCCGTCCCATTCCCAGCTTGTCTTGCCCGAGTCTGGTTCTGGCCCCTTACCATGTTCTTGAGCTTGGGCAGGCGACGCTGCCAACAGTTGTAGATGAGCCCTAGCACGATGATGATGACACAGATGGAGCCAATGACGACCAGCACAACAAAGAGCTTCCCATAGTCACTCCGGACCTGGCTTGGCCGGGCCTGGCAGCTGGTGGTAGTGGAGTAATTCTGGATGCCAATCTAGAGTAGAGACAGGAGGACAAAAAAGTGTGAGGGCATTCCCCCTTGATGCACCAGAGGCACTTGCTTAGCCACTCTGGGGAGGCTTTGAGAACCCCCAGAATGGCCTCCCAGCTACGCCTGCCCACTGCAGAAGTACATCAGAGAGCAGAGAGAGGCTGGGAGGAACAAGGATACCCTCACCCAAGAATCCTCAGGAAATAGCAGAGTGGGGCAGCAAATCCGGAGGGTGCCCACACACCATCCCCTGTATGACATTCAGAAAAGGCGTCACTTAGTCTTCGCTTGAAGACCTCTAGAGAAGGATAACTCACTGTCTCCTGGGGTGGCCCATTTCCTTTTGGACAGCACAAATTGATGGCAAATTTTTCCTGACTTTTATCCAACTTTAACTGTCCCTTTGCAACTTCTCCCCATTGTTCCTTGTTCTGGGGCTAAAAAGACAGTCTAAAGCCTTCTCCAAGAATCTTAGGGATACTTGAAGACGGCTCTCAAGACCTCCCACTAAGTCTTCAGGCTAAATATCCCCATTTCTTCAATCAATCCTCACGTGACAAATGTCTGCCCTGTTCCCTTGGTGAATCCTCAGGACCTGGGTGATGGCCATGGTGTCTCATTCTTAGAGGCATCCAAAAGCTAGCTAATAGGGATTCTGGGAGTTCATACCAAGTAAGGGAAAGTGAAACTTAAGAACTAGCCTCTATTAATAAACAGCCCCAAGCAAGAAGGAACTTATGCTCAGATCCAGTCCCAACTGAAGCTTCCTTTCCAATTCTTTCTTATTGGGCTACATCACAGAGCTCCAGGGCTACCACTCCTTCTTTCTTTAAAAAATCAATCAATCAATCAATCAATCAATCAATCAACAAATCTGCTGTTGAAGCCAGTCCTTGCCTAGCCAGTTTGCAGACAGACAGGGTATTTGTATGTCCTTGGCAAAGATAGAAAATTGGGCTCCCTCCTATCAAAAGTTATACCTTCATATGTAGTTAACCAATGGATGTTTGGAGCCTCACCATGACATGTACAACTTGACTTATCACAAAATAAATAGTAGGTACCATGGAGAGTGGAATATTTTGGAACAAAACATATGAGCATTTACAAAAAGCAATATTTAGATGTGCCCCTTTTTTTCTGCTCTCAGGAGAACTGTATCTACCCTAGGTGGTCAATACTTTGTCTAACCAAGTTCTCCCTCTCCTTCTGTCCCCACCAGTCCCCACCCTTTAGTCATGGGTCTAGACATGGTCCTAAGCTCTCCTTTCTCTGTATCAAATGAGCTACTCCATAGACCTAGTACCACTCTCTTATCTCTGCCTGTTGTAGCCCTCTAAAGCCCTCTTTTGGTGCCACCTCTTCCAGGAAACCCCCCCCCATCCTCACAACTGAAGGTCATTCTTCCCTCCTCAGACTTCCTAGAGCATTCTATCTAGACCTTCCTGTCACCCTGGTCATATTCTACCTCGAACCCAACTTATTTGACCTCCTGTTGTTTTCCCCAGTAGGTTGTAAGCTCCTTGAGGGCATGTCTTCTTAGAAATTAATCCAACTGAGAAAGAATAGGATTAAAACAACAACAACTTCATGAAGACACTAAGGAGCAAAATAACCTAAAATAAAATACGTAGAAAGACAGTTCTTTCATTTCAATCTTCCATTGCCATTTGCTGGGTTTGGAAAATCTCCAGCTATATTCTTTGTAGAAAAATCCTTAGAGAAGTTTGGCTTGGGGCTCATTGACAGGCAGTTCATTAGAGGAATAGCCTGAGCTGGGAACGAAATGTTGGCTTTGTATGTGGAAATAGCACCTCCTCTACCCTTCCCAGGAGCCAGGGCTGATTCTTAGCCAAACAATGAAGTCAACAAAGCCTTTCTTAGGTCCTCTTCACTTTCCCCAATTTCTCTAACAACCCCTAATCCTTCCTAGCCCTCCCGGGCTACCAAGGGTCTTCCCCCAAGTAGTTACTACCCCCTCAAATTTCCACTACACCCTTCCCTCAGGGTTCTGTTCTCTACTGGGTAACAATGTATATAGCAGCAGATTATTACTTAGGATATGCTAATTCCTACTAATGTGTCTACTAGGAATGTGTAACTACCTCCTAGGCAACAGAAAGGCTTAAACCAGCTAAAATACTGGGCTCTTCCAGCAGGTTCTTTAAGAAGAAGCTGATAGTGGGAATTTCATACAGCGGCAGACCAGTAAGGATGTATTTTGGGGATGGAAGCCATTTATTCCCCAGAATCACAAATGTGTAGGCAGGAACCTAGTGTGTCTACTTGGTAAGGCCCTTGTCCACATGGCTATGTGATTCGAAGAAGGCCACCTTGACCACCCATGCTCTAAGGCTCTTACCTCCACCAAGCTTCTCCGGATGTCACCCAGAACTGAGAGAACATCTTTAGTTGGAACCACTCCTGAGGAGAAGGACAAAGGGTTGTCTCTATTGCCCCAGCCCCTGGGGCTCCCATCCATTTCTTGCCTTGGCTTTCTCTCTAACCCTGCTGAGTTCCCACTCTATTACATACATACACACTCCTCACTTGCACCTTTTTCACTGTACACACATCCTCTTTTCATTCCTTCTATAAACATGCCTCTCTCCTACTGAAATGCCTTTCTTTCCTCCTATAGATTTCCTTAATTTCTACAGACTAAAGGTGGAATCCTGTAGACTACTGCCAAGGCAGGGGGCAGTCCAGAGCAGAAATACACCTGAGCTGTAGCTACAAGTGCTATCAGCACTTTTCAGTAACCTAGACTAAGCTTCAGTTGTCCCAGCCTAATCATGACTCTGGATTAGGGATTGGGGATTGGACCCATGACTATATTGGTACAGGGAATTCTTGGTACCTTCTGTACCATTGCAGATCAGCACCTTCTTTGTGACTTAAAGTCTTAGAGGGTGCCTATAGCACTTAAGGTTAAGTGACTTACCCAAGGTCACATGATGTCAGAAATATCACTTGAATCCTGGTCTTTCTGGTTTTGAGACCAGCTTTCTGTCCACTGTGGCAGGTTGCCTTTATAGGTCTGAATGAACCTCATAATGTATACTCTCCTCTTCTTCTCCAGTGCCCCAAAGCTGGGCTTATAAATTTTCCCTATAGCCTCATGATCCCAGAACTCCCAGACTGAACCCTGAATATATGATTGACAAATCTAATTGGTGACTTCTCTTCTACCTTCCCCAAAAGACCTAAAATAAGAGAAAATGTAAAACCCCCAAGTTTTACATTTGTATTTTGTAATTCATTCTATGTGAAAACTCTCAAGGGCCCTGAAAATGCTGAATTGGCCAAATTGTTGTTATTTTATGAGGCACCATAATAGGATGCTAGCTCTCTGAGTGAATTAGGCCTCCTGCTGTGTTCTGTATCTAAACAAAAGAAAAGGAGAAGAGCAAAGGCCCAGCCTTTTTCCATTCTGCCTGCCATAGGTTTTTCTTCCTCCTCTTCCCCGTCTGTCATCCTAAGTCTCCACTCTGTGCCCTCCTTCACACTGATTCTCTTCTCCCTCACCCTCAGTTCCACCTACTACACATGGGTCTTTCTTCTTCCAAGCCCTCCCACCTCTTGCTTCATCCCCAGCTCTGGTCACTTACCCTGTTCTCCCACTAGGGTCATCAGTAAATGTTGCTCATTCTCACTGGGTTTGCTCAGGGAGATGTGCCAGTCCCCAGGACGCCCATCCCCCTGCCGGGGCAGTACCTCTTCTACCAGGGCCAGGAGCCGAAGCCCTCTGTGTTGCCGGAACACCTCCTGCCAAAGAGATGAGATCTCCCTAAGACCTAAGCTGAGCAAAGCCACCGTGAGTGAGGTGTTATTTCCAGGACCTATCTCTCTCCAGTCCTTCCCCTTAGAAACTCTGCTCAGTGGCTTTGCATCATGCAAACCTGTTCCATCTGCTCTAAGGAGGGGACCAGGCCAACGGCACAATCTCCTCCCTAGCCCCATCCCTCTCTGGAGGGGAGGTACCACTATGAGCACAAGCATCAGAGAAGCCAGGTGACAGGCTTTGATGTACTTCAAACTCATAGCAATAAGTCGTCTGTATTCCTCACTTGGGCCTAAATCATATATTGATGATGATCCTGGACTCCTTAATGGCAGGGAATGTCTTATCACTGTACCACTAATAATATCCAGTAGAGCTCTAGCCATAGTATGGGCTTGTAAAATGCTAGTTGAGTGAATAGTTGGATGGATGGATGGATGGATGAATGAATGAATAAATGAATGAATGAATGAATGATGTCCAGTCCTGTTTAGAGATAGGTAACCTACATTCCCTCATAGGGAGTTACTGTCCTCCAGTTCTACAGACACTTTTATTTGGTCCTGTCACACCCCTGCTCCCTCAGCTCCAGATCTTCTGTTACTCTCAGGAGGCCTTTCTCTTCCTCTTAACACAGTCTCTGTGTGTCTCCCTAATGGCCCCACTCTGGCCTCTTCTCCAGGGTAGCAGCCAGGTGAGGTGACGGTGCTCATTTCCGTCTGTCTCCTGTGCCTTGTGACTGGGTTGGGGAAGCCTGAAGACATGCTCACCATTGAATTCAGATCCATTCCTTGGGGTTTCTCTGTCATTTCCCATCCCCTCCTTTCTCATTTCTGGCCCATGTTGCTGCTACTCTTGCCATGCCAACTCAAAGGCCACCAATATGATTCATAGGCCTGACCATCCCCCCTGGTTACCAAGGTAAAAGTTCAAGGCTCTTCCTGGCCTAATAGGAAGAGAGAGCTTGATTCTGAATCTAAGAAGGGAGAGGGACCCTTGCTTGGCAGACTTAAAGACATTCAGAAACAGCCCAATAACTCCACCCCATAGAGCTCCTACTACCTATTTTTTGTCACTCCGATCCCCTAGAAAGATGACATCAGTAGAAAGAACAATGGCACCTAGCAGTTCCACAGTCAACCAGATGATGGAACGAGAGCTGGGGAGGCATCAGGAACCATCTTTCACCATCTAGCTTGGGCTGCTTCAACACTTAGGTCCAGATTGCCTGGAGCATTCTCTCTGCAGACCATGCAGGAAGAACTGACACCCTCCTAGAGTAAGCAACAGGGAATTCCCTTCATGGAAACCTCCTAGGACTTAGAGGCAAGGCACAGACTCCCAAGCCAAGGTTGGTTGGCAGATTTGGGATCACCAATTAGGCAAGCAAGGGGTGGAGTTGTAAGAGCACTGCCACTCTCCTCTCCCCAAAGTCCCCACCAAAATGGAAAGTCCTCAGAAGTATATTTTCTGGAGTCCCATCTCCCAGTGGCACTATCTTCTTTATGCCTGGCCCACAGAGTGCTCACCCCCTCTGACTGTCCAGTATTTGGGTACTGATCTGCCCAACATCAGCCCAATGTGGGCTCCATCTTCATGGTCACTCCCACTCTCCCAAAGGCAACCACTGAGAACAGGAGTAACCAACCCTTGGCTCTGAGGGTACCTGTGGCTGTTTAGAGCTCCAAGTGTGCCCCTTAAAGTGAGGAGAAGGAAGGAAAACAAATGCCATTACAAATTACTTTGTATTTTCAAATGCTATAAAAAGATCATTAAAAACAAACAACTAAATTTCATATGCAAATGAATAAATGGATGAATGATGTAAACCTCTGTTAATTCTATTTAGCATAATGAATGACTGAGTTAATAACATTTTACAAAGTAACGTATGAGAGCTTTTTATCCATGATATTGGCGAATATCCATAGCCTGCCTCTTGCTGCCTTCTCTTGATCCCCAGCCAAATCCCCCACCTCCTATGAAGCTCTGTTCTGCTCCCCCAAATCATCTTGAGGTAAGCCCTCTCTCCTAAGTCCCTGCCCAAGACCCACCACTCACACAGTCTATATTCTCTGTCATATTCAGGATGATGTAGTTCTTTCCTGCCAGGTTGCTCCAGTCTTTGCAGATAACCTGGACATTGAAAGGGAGAGAAGTGAGGAGGGAGGGAGCAGAGTGACAACTAGCCTGGATGCCAATGGCACGCATCATGTAGGATGCCACTGCTAATGGAGTGGAAGCCTGCCTCCCCCCCTTCCCCCTCCCCAAATCATCAGCAAGCCATGAGGCATCTCCCTAGAGGGTCTCTAAGAGTTGAAATTACACTCTTTTCCTGACCCACCCTGACCCCTGAGATGTCACTTAACTGATTTAAAAGAGTTCCTCCTACAAAATCAAAGGCTTTAGCTCCCCTGTAAGAGACCCAGTGGAGTGGCCAGTCTTTGTGAACATTATTTTTAGTGTTATATTATATTTTGTGCATAGTATGCATGGTTATTGAGAGTTCCTTTATGGAACATTAGCAATCGTATCAGAATGCCACTCTTTCCCAGTCAATAAGCCGCTTCATGTTACCTGAGCTGGGTCCCAGGATGTTCTGGTGGGTACCCCAGGAGCCTTCCCATCCTCAGTTTGAAGAGCAAGGTCTTGTTGCTCTGTGGCAGCAGCAGAGGAAGTGACTTCTATTCCATAGAGGTCCAGGGTGGAAGAGGCAGAGATACTAGTCTGGAAAGGACCCCCAGATGGCACATTTCTTTGAGTAGGTGATACTGAAGGGGGCTCGTCCCCTTGCTTGACTATTGATTCTTTTGTTACCACTGTAGCCTCCTCATCTACTCCTCCACGGACTTCTAATTCTGTAGCATGTCCTGTATCTTGTTCTAACACTCCCACAGTGCCCTCTGCCTCCTGCTTGGTAAAGTCTTGGCTGCCCAAGGCCACTGTAGCTGGGATGATGGGAAGTGGTAATAAGCTTGGCTCCATGCTGCTCCCCACTTCCACACCCTGGTCCACAGGTTCTTCATGTCTGTTTCTGGGAGCCCCTGGTACTGAGCCAGATGGGGTAGTGCTGGTAGAAAAGGGTCTAGGGAGCTGAGATTGGGGTGTCTCCTGGGACCCATTCAGTGGTAGCATTCCCTCCTCCTGCTCCTTTTTTGGTCCCCTTTCTTCCTCCTCTTCCCCTTCCTGTTCTTCTTCTTCTTCTTCTTCCTCCTCCTCCTCTTCCTCTTCTTCCTCTTCCTCTTCCTCTTCATCCAAATCCTCAGGAGGATTATGCCAGGGTGGCTCAACCAGATTCATCGTGGGCAGGGGAGAGGAGAGGCTTGGAGATTCTTGGTCCTGGCTCTTGTCTTCTCCTGGTGCTGCTTTCTGTGGTGAGAGTGGAAAGGTGTAGTCTGAAGATAGAGATAAAAGGTTAGTTCATTCATTCATGATTTATTTATCAACCATAATGTGCTATAAAAGAAATGTAAAAAAACATTGCTGGTGAATGGAGAAAAGACCAGCTCAGCTAGAGTGGAGGGATCATTTTAGGGAATAATAGGAGATTGGCCACATTTGGCCACATTTCTGACAATCAGACTAAATTTGGACTTTATCTCATAGGTGGTGAGGAGCAACTCAAGGTTTTATGCATCAAAAAAACCTCATTAGTCTTATGATGGCATGTATGATTAAAAGTGGGACACGTGAACACTAAGAAATTAGTGAGGAGGCCGCTGCAATAATAGTGATAAAGTGATGAGAATCTACTAAAGTGGAAAAAAGGGATAGACCAAAAACCATCAGTTTGGGAGCTATTTTGAAGGAATGCTCCATACATCTTAGTACTTGACTGAATGTAGGGGACAAATGAGAGCAAAGAGTCAAAAGTTGACTCCACGATTCAGAGGCTGGGTGACTGGGAGATTGGTTGGGGCCCTAATGTAAAATGTATGTTATATGGGAGTGCTGATTTAAGTTAGATTATAAATTCAATTCTTGGGACACGTTGTCCCAAAAGTCTCATGAGTTTGAGGTAACAGAGAACATTCAAGCGGAGATATCATGTAGACATTTGGAGATGGGTTTTCAGTATCTCTACTTTCTCAAGTCCCTTATCAGGATAAGCCTGGGCAAGGCTACCACATGTGCCCTTTGATCACTCCCAAGAGGCTGTTCCCTAAAACCAATTAAGAGGCAGGAAGTCTCAAAGGCCAGAGGGGTTGTTGCTAGAAGGAGGCTACCAAACTTGAAGTCATAGGACCCAAGTCACTGAATCTTCCTGGGCTTCAGTAACTTCATCTGTAAAATTGGGAGGTTAGATTAGATGGCCTCTAAGATCCCTTCCAGCCCCAGGTCAAGAACTTAGGGGCCTGTGATCTACTAAACTGTTGGTTCCTGAGACAGGAACCATGGAAATGCCCATTCTACATACCATTTCCTAAAACTGTAAAAAGCCATAATGATCAGCCCCTAATTTCTCAATCTATCCCTCTGTTGGTTGAGTAAATACTTGGGCCCATATACACCAAAATATTTATAACAGCACTTTCTGTGATAGTAAAGAACTGGAAACAAAGTAGATGTCCATCAGTTGGGGAATGGATAAATAAGTGACAGTTCATGAATGAACATTCTATTACTGTGCCATAAGAAACAACAAGTATAGAGAAACACGGAAAGACTTACGGGAACTGATGTAATTCGAAGTAAACCGTCAAGATGACAATATATATAATGACTACAACATCGTACGTAAATGGAAAGAACAACCACAAAACAACTGAAAGTGAATGTTATGAAATTACCAAGCACAAGCATGACCCCCAAAAAGGAGAGAAGACATCTTCCCTAGACTACTTTGTAGAAGCTGAAGGTCCACAAAAAAAACATGGCATAGACTTTGCAATTTTTTCAATGTATTAGTTGGTTTTGCTGTTTGTTTTCTTTTCCTTTTTTTCTTTTTCCTTTTCTTAAAAAAGTCTTTGTTACATGAGAAGTTTCTCTGGGGGAAGGAGAAGGAATTCCAGGGGAAAATTAAGTGATGTAAAAACCAAAGCTATCCATAAAAATTATTTTTTAAAAGAGCTCTATCCAAAGTGCTCACAGTGACTGGCTAGGTGATTTTAAAGAAGTCAGTGTGACCAAATGCCTGGCAAAGGCCAGAAAGCACTTTCTGATTCCCTGGGAATAAGGAGCCAAGAGGAACACAGATGGAGTCATGGCCCACTACAGTTTCCACTAGACATTATATGCATATGTTAAGAGTCTGCATGCAGCTGGGAAGTCTACCTGTAATGGTTACTCTGTTTTTGGTTTAATACTATGTTGTAGCTGCAAGAGTGTGTGTGTGTGTGTGTGTGTGTGTGTGTGTATTTGTGTATATATGTGTTTGTGTGTATGTGTGTGTACATGTGTGTGTGTTTATATGTGTGCGTGAGTTTGTGTGAGCATACCCGCTGGAAGGGAGATATTAGTCAGTCAATCAACAAGCATTTATTAAGTGCCTACTATGTGCCAGGCACCGTGCTACAAAGAAAGGCATGAACCTAGTCCTTGCCCTTAAGGTACACTCCCATGCAGGGAGACAACATACAAACAACCACACACAAGATCTGTGCCGTGTAAATGGAAAGTGATAGGACACGAGTGAGATTGGGAGGAAGACTGGGACAGTCCTCCCACAGAAGGTGCGGTCTGAGCTGAGTCTTGAAGGAAGCCAGTAGGAAGTCAGGAGGTCCCTATGAGGAACAGCACGTAGGGCAGTGCAGCTACATCACAGCATGTGCTGAGGAGAGTAAAGTGTAAGAAGACTGGAGAGGGAGAAGGGCCAAGGAGAGTAGGGCTCTAAAAACCAAACCAAGCATTTTTTTTTTTGCCTCTAGAGGTCGACAGTCATTTCTTGAAAGAGCACAGGGAGTGACCAAAAATTCTCAGGAAGAATAGAGTGGAGTTGAGAGCTCCTGTACTATCATAATCTTCTGCCCATGATCTCTTGCAATGTAGACCCTAGCTACCCCTTTACGGGCTAACTGGTTCATGGGGCTTAGCCTCTCTTGACTTACTCACGTGATTTCACTCAAGATCCTTTGCTGATATGAAAGCACACCAGATTAGGGATCAGCAGACTTGAGTTCTAGTTCTGAACCTACCTTTAATTCACCCTGACTAAGTCACTACATCGCTGGGCCTCAGTTTTCTTAGCTGTAAAACGAAAGGACTGGACTAGTGCATCTTATCTGTAGAGGGGTACAGAAGTCTGTAACTGAGTGGTCTCTTTCTCCAAGAAGCCTATGGGCCAGCCCGTCTGCCCACCTTCTTTCTTTGGCCTCTTAGAAGAACAGAAGCTTCTGGGATACAATTTCAGCCCCTTGAAGACAAGAAGTGTTTCTCCTTTTTTTGCATTTGTGTGCCCAGGGCCCAGGCTAGCACCTTCCACAGTGAAGGCACTTAACACATGCTGCCAACGTTGAACAGACTTGAAATGGCAGAAGGGTTAACAACTCCATTGGCCCCTCTGGGGCTCCAGAGTCACTGGCACACAGTGAGAGGTGGGGCAAGGTGTGCAAATGGTGATTGCCACAGGCATAGTGAGAGCTGCAAGGAAGAAGCACATTCCAGTGCCCAGAGAGGAAATACCCTCCTCCTTTATCCACGATGTTGGGGCCCTAAGGCAAAGCTCTGGTCACCTCTAGTTATAGCTCTGAGTATCATTATGTGCAGATTAGAAATGTGATGAGGCTAGAAAAACAGAGTCTACAGATAGAGATTAAAAAGTTCATTTATTCATTCATCTATTCAACCATTTATTCATTTAAACATCTAATATTTTAATTAAGTATTTAATTTTAAGTTTAATTAAATCTAAATATTTAATCATTTATTTATTTAATCATCAATTCATTTAACCATCAAGTAAACTCCCTGAACCCTACTCCTTTCCAGCTGCAAGGTGGAAGCTATTAGGACTGAGTGAGACTGATTTAAGGAGAGAGATATCCTCCTTCTTCAGACTTGCTATTTCCCACTATTCCCCAACATGGCCCCTTGCTTGAACCAGCTCAGGCTTAAATTTATACAATTATAATGGTAATGATCCAATTCAGTTCAAAACAACGTTAAGGGCCTACAATGTACAAATCATCGTAATGACAATAATAATTTCACTCTAGCAAGACTCTTAAGTTTCCAAAGTTGACCTGAATCAAGTCAGGACTCTGTCTTTGAGAAGAGAGAAGCTAGAGGAGGTGGTCAGTGTTGATTTTCTGCTCTGGACCTTGAAAGCAAAAATAGCTGGGAATGTTTTTCTAAAGCACTGCTAAAAACTTAGAAGGGCTTCTCAAGTTGAGCTATGAGAAAGAGATTAATGTCTGCCTAAGTAGCAGAACTGAGAGTAGAACCCATCAGTTCCCACTCAGTGTCAGATAATAATAATTAAAAGAACTGGGGATGTGTAGCCTGGAGAGGAGATGACTAGGACAGGAAGGAATTTAGAGTGATTTCACACACAGGTCCATCATCTGAAAGAGACAACAGACTGACTTTAAAAACTATAGTTTCAATTTTATCCTCTTCAGAAACATATAACTAGCTATAAATTCTCTTGAAGATACTTTAAAGAAAAGTTAAACATTGGCTTAGGATATAAAAATCTTGGGCAAGAATACCTTTTTTACAAAATTTTTTGTACTGTACTACAGAGGTCAAAATCTTCCCAGGACTATTTTGAGTATCCCTTTTTTTTTTTCTTCAGGTTCACCCAACCAAAAACAAGCCAAAACCAAACAAGATGGAGCCCAGTCACTTTATCTACAAAGTCTCATTTTTCTTACCTATAAGAAGATCCAGTTCCATTAAGCGATCTATAAAGTCCCTTTTAGCTCTAAACATTCTGAGTCTATGACTGATTTTGTGTAACTACTGAAGGCATACTAAGATTAATGGATGGAGGTTACCAAGAGACAGATTTCAACTCAGGACAAGAGAGAAATTTCTCACGATTTGAAAAGATGTTATGTCTCTGGCTTTAAAGCTAGAAGGGCCCTCCAAGGATATCTAGTTCAATTTCCTCATTTTACATATGATGAAACTGACACCCAGGGAAGCAGGGACTTCCTGTCCAAGATCATGATGGCATTGTAAACATTAGAGGGAAGTCTGGAATGCAGGATCTGACTCCAAAGCCAATGCTCTCTCCATGGTACCATGAATTAGAGTTGGCCAACAATGACATAAACCACCCAGAAAGGTAACGCGTTATCTGTCCCTGGAAGCATTATGAGCACATGTCATGAAGCCATAGAGCAGATTCTTATATAGTGTGGGAGTTTATACTAGATGTTCCCTAAGGTCCTTTACAGCTCTGCTCAGGAAAAGAGAATGAGTGACTCAGAGAGAAAGACATGCAGATGAATACAAGCCTACAGACACACAGCCATTAATGTGTCTGCACATGCACATACATATATGTCCTCATATGTATGTGTGTATTGTGCACATATATGAAATCTATTTAAGACACTGAGGAAAGGAAGAAGAGAAGATTATGAGGTAAGGGGGGAAAAAGAGGAAAAACAAAAGGTAGGAAGAGACAGGTATGGAGAACTTTGCATAATCTAAGATAAAAATCCATCCCATCAACTTCTTGGAAGTAGGCCCCTGGAGGGTGGGGATGGGGAGGGGAACAGGAAGCACAGCTTCAACACTAGATTTTCCTCTTCTGGTGGGGGGTCTTCAGAGTGGGCCTTTCATCTCAAGCTAATAATAGCTCACATTTATACAGCTATTTTATATATAACTGGTGTTCCTTTCGATTTCACTTTGAGGCAAGTAGGGCAAGTATTATTATCTTCATTTTCCAGGTGCCAAAACTGGCACCCAGCAAGGACGCCAGACCCAGTCCCAGGTTTAGTAAAGCAGTGCATCCAGGATGCAGACGCTAGAGTTCTGACTCAGGTCCAGCACTCTTACCGAGTTGCCACTCTAGAACTTCAATAGCCTGAAATCTATAAGGGGTTCTTGCTAACCAAGCACGTTTGCACGGCTGCTAGAACAAAGCTGAAGAACAGTGTGCTGCACAATTTTTCAATCCTTCACACAAACTGCCAGGTGCTCCGGCTCACCTCCACCAGATCTCAGAGTGTCTCTGGGAGGAGGGATTACGGCAGGCCTAGGGAAGGTATCCTCCATGACCACAGAGAGCTGGAAGACTACTGAGAGCTAGCCAAGTATGAAGTCCTGGAACCCAACCCAATCCTGTCAACCCAGTGCAGAAAAGAATCCTGTATCCAAATTTACCCCACTTAAAGTAAGTGATCAGATGCCAATCAATCAATTTTATAGGCCAAGTGTAGAAAAGTCCTTCAAACTGGAGTGATACAAGAATCATATTTGGATAGGTTGAGGAAATTTGGCCATGACTCAGGGACATCTATAAATTATCAAACTAATTAGAATCACATTCATCCAAGAAGCTGGAGTATCTGTGGCTTTTCAGCACATCCTCGAAGAGCAATGGTACAACTGAGCTGTAGCAGATTAGGGCGATGGCAAGGGTATTAGCTTTAAAGGCAGAAGACCCAGGCTGAAGGAAGTCCCCAGATAAGGTTGGCTCTTTCCCCAACTTTTCCTTTTGGTGTCTGTTTATCCACAAACACTCTAATATAAGCTACTGCTTTGTTACCCAAATGTTTCCAGAAAACTGAATTTTGTCTCAACTACCAAGAGGCCATAGGTTAATTAGAGATGGATATAAATGTAAAGTTAGGCACAGAGCCCAACCTCTGCCTAAATGTTAGTAAATTTCCTAATTGGGGTCTTGGAGGAATTGTGAATGAACTTAGAATTTTCATCCAAAATAAACTTCTTGAAGTGAAAACGGATAGAATAAAGTGAACCTTAGGAGCCATTATATTGGTCCCTTAGAATTAAAATGAGTTAGTTATCATGATACAGTAATATATAAGCTTTCCTATGTTTGGCCCTGTCACCACCTGACTCTCAAAGGTAGATGAAGAGGTTCACCTTTAGTGTGCACATGGACAGGAAGGGCCTTTAAATAACTCTGGCAGGAAAAACTTGGTGTGGAAGACGGGAGAGTTCAGATAATAACCTAAGGGGAGTAAGTCATTTGCACTCATGTCTGGAGCCATGCCATACATCCATTTAGCACTCAACCAGCATTGTCGGTAAAAAGTTACCTTCAGTGGGTCCTAGGTCCAAGGTGGAATCATTCAGCTCTCCCTCATCTTCCCAGAAATACTGTGGTGGCTGCAGAATCCTAGACTCTTCATTCTCTTCACTGGTAAAGCCTGAACCAGGGCCTCCCAACCCAACTCCTGGCCCAATGGCCTCACTTGGCTCAACTGAGTCTACTGACTCCAGTCCACTGGGCAGCAGGAGATCCAACAGAGAGGTAGAAGTGAGCCCTTCAGGGCCAGGCTCTTCAAGCCCTATCAGGCACATACCCACGGATACACCTGTGCAAACACAAAAAGAAAAGAGGCCATGGGAGTTTGGAAGGGACAGAAGAGAGGAATCTAGACTGAAAAATCACTCAAGAGCACCAACCTTATACAAATTTATCAACACCCTTATCAATTTAGTCTGCAATGAATAGTATTTGGGGAGGGAGGTGGAGTGAGGTATAGACTAGGTCCACATACGTGTATATGGGGGATCGGTTGAGGAGAGGCAGTAGGATGGCACATTTCAGTTGCAGGAAGAGGCTAGGCCTCCTTTTTCTCTCTAGGCAGGGCTGGAGAGTTCCTGAAAAATGGCTGTTCAGCTCTTTTGGGGAGGGAGAGGGGGAAGAGCATTTAAAGCCTAGGGAATAGTGCTAGTGTGTGGGGGAGGGTAAGGAGAAAATTAATATTGAATCCCAGACTAACCCCTTCCACAGTCATGTCTCCCCAGGTCTTTCTACTGATCAAGGATGTTACTAAATTGGTTACTTTTTAAAACTTGCTCTGTATTTTGGTTGCATGGCATCCTGAATATTTTTCTTTAAAAGAATTGTGGTACAAAATGATGAGTGGTTCTGGGATTCACTTTGCAATTTATTCAATGTAATATACAAATTAGTAAGGCCCCCAAAATTGTTTGCTTTTCCATTCCTCTTAACAATGGAACTGCAAATGTGCTGTCTTATTTTATTACATAAGGACCTCTTCCACTATCTGCAATCTTATGTAGGGCCCCTCACCCCTCTGTTCCTCAGTGTCCTCCTCTGTAAAAGGTGATGGCTGAAGACTGACTAGGAAGCTGATTGAAGGTGATGTCATAAGGGATCCCACTGGGTCTTTTACAAGAGGATGAGCTGTTTTCTTGTCCCCAAACTACCTGACTTGTTTCTTCTGGGTAGAGTTGGTGCAAGCCAGAAGCTGGCCCTTTCCCTTGAGCTCTCAAAGTCAGGAATTTCAATCTTTTGTGAAAATTGACAAGGTTGGCCTCCCTCCCTTTGTTTACCTGTGGGAGGATGGGTACTCATCTTTGTAAAGAGCATCAAGTCTTACATTCTCCGTCTATTGCCTGTGTGTGAAGTCTACGTATGGGTCTCTGGACTTAAGAAGCAAAAAAATAGCTACGAAACTCCCCCTCCCCCGTCTGCAACGCATGAGGGACCATTCAATTAACTACACTCCCCAGACCAAGAGACCCAAAGAGATGACATAGGGTGGATGTCCTTGAGGCTGACAGGTCAGATTCAGAGAGCAAAATGTTCTCCTTGTCTGAGGATCAGGAAGGGCCAACTCCATTAGAATAACATTGCCAAGGGGTAGCTAGGTGGCACAGTGGGAAGAGCACTGGCCTTGGAGTCAGAGGACCTGAGTTCAAATTTGGCCTCAAGACACATAATACTCACTAGCCATGTGACCCTGGGCAAGTCACTTAGCTCCGTTGACTAGCCAAAAAAAAAAAAAAAGAATAACATTGCCAAGTGGAGCTAGAATGAAGGAGCTGCTGACCCTGTCAATTCTGTTGGAGTGAGGGATTATATTGAATGATGCTTACTTTTGTCAGCTCCCTGAATTCCTAAGGTAAAAGAAATGGAACGCCCAGCACACCATGGGATTGACTTACCTAGACTACCTGAGTGGGTTCCATAGTGTGGGTAGAACTCTGTCGCATGGGTCCCCATTGCCCTTGAAGCAAGGGTGACGAACATAATGTAGGGGATGTGGTACAGCAAAAAGGGTCCTGTATTTGGAGGCAGAGGACCTGAGTTCAGATCCCAGCTCTGTTCCTTACAATGTGTCCCTAGCCAGACAAGTCATTTAATTTCTTTGGTACTCTCTTTTGTTTTGTTTTCTCATCTTCAAACCCAGAAGCCTAGACTAAATGATCTCTAAGGTCCTCTTCCTGGCATAAATCTATGGTTCTATGATAAATCTGGCAAACGTGAAGAGACACAGATGGTCCAAAAGAGCCTATGAACCTACAGGAATGCTCTTAGGAAACAAGTCCCAGGCTTGGGAACAATAAGAAAACTTCCAGCTCTGCGGTATAACCTTTACAATTGGAATTTTCCCAAGTAGAAAGACAAATGTAAGAGTTGCTCAAAAGGCAGCCTACTTCCTATTAGACCTATGCTGTCCCACATAACTCAATAACAACAGAGAGTTCAGTTCTTTTGCTCCCCCATATTCAGGCCCTTGCTTCTCCATGGGATATGTGCGTGGGCACACTTTTCTATCCAAGAGGCTAGTACTGCCCATGAACGCCCCTATGCCCATTCTCTTTCTAGAATTCTGGATCCCCAAACTCTTGAATTTGTCAAGGCTGACATTACCCAGAGGCTCCTCTCTTCTCTTGCTAAGAGGCAAAATCATGCTGCCCAGGAAATCTCTACTTCATCCAGAAGGCTGGAGTCCAGGAACTCTTGAAGCTTTTCCAGATAATTTGGTTAGGGAACTCCTGGTTCTCAGACCACGTGGTTCCCCTCTCCATGGCTGCTATCTCTTAGGCTGAGAGGCTATACTATTTGCTCTACTTATACCTAGGCTGAGTCTAGCTGCTTGAAGGTCAAGCATCTGTGGCTGCATAGATCTGAGCATACATGCAATTCCCATGTGCTTCTGTCTCAGAAACAGTTGTTACCCAATGCTGGGGAGGAGGGGAATTGGGTAGGTTATAGCATGCACAGATTACCCACCCACCACTATTCTTCCCCACTCCCCAGGATCCAGGTTCAATTTTATCTCTAGTGCTTTCTCAGCAACTCCCCAGCAAAGGCAAAGGGGAAAAAAGCCCAAGCCTGCAATCAATCAACCAACATGCATTTATTAAGTATCTACTGTGTCCCAGCCACTGTGCTAGACTCTAAAGACACAAATACAAATAATAAAACAATCTCTGCTCTCAAAGAGACTGCACTCTCACTTTCTGAGCCAACCAAGTTATCCCCAATCTGCACATTGAGTTAGAATGAGTCAAATGACTGTCTCTACCCTCCATAGAGAAAAATCATCAAAGTCCTAAGGAGTACAAGTAAGTGTCTGTTGCTGGGGTTATTGTTGTTGTTTAGTTGTTTTTCAGTTGAGTCTGACTCTTCATGACTCCATTCAGAGTTTTCTTGGCAGAGATACTGGAGTGCTTTGCCATTGTCTTCTCCAGCTCATTTTACAGATGAGAAAACGGAGGTATACAGAGTTAAATGACTTGCCCAGGGTCACACAGCTAGTGTCTGAGGCTAGCTTTTAACTCAGGTCTTCCTGACTCCTGGCACACCGCCACTTTGAGCAGTGTTGCAGGTGGCCTTCTGTTCCTTGCTTCGTTTCCCCAGCATGACTTTTCTTAAAAAGTGCACTTTTTGTTATCCTTTACAGTCATCATCAATCTCATAATCAGATTAGGAACAGCAGTTTTCCTCACTGCTTTCTCTACCACTTGAAAGATAACTTGGGAGGGGCAGCTAGTTGGACAGAGCACCAGCCCCGGGTGCAGGAGTTCAAATCTGGCCTCAGACACTTGACACTTACTAGCTGTGTGACCCTCAGCAAATCACTTCACCCCATTGCCTCAAAAAAAAAAAAAGAAAGAAGAAAGAAAGAAAGAAAGAAAGAAAGAAAGAAAGAAAGAAAGAAAGAAAGAAAGAAAGAAAGAAAGAAAAAAGGAAGGAAGGAAGGAAGGAAGAAAGGAAGGAAGGAAGGAAGGAAGGAAGGAAGGAAGGAAGGAAGGAAGAAAGAAAGAAAGAAAGAAAGAAAGAAAGAAAGAAAGAAAGAAAGAAAGAAAGAAAGAAAGAAAGAAAGAAAGAAAGAAAGAAAGAAAGAAAGAAAGAAAAAGAAAGAAAGATAACCTGGGGGATGGTGATGTGTGTGTGAGGATGTAACTTCAAGGTAAGGGCCAAAGGCAGCCTGGGCCTTCCTAATACACAGCAAGGGCTGCCACCCTTCCTGCCTCAAGTCTCTCCCTACTCCAATCCATTCCACATTCAGCTTCCAAAGTGATTTCCCTGAAGCTGTAGATCTGACTTCATAATTTTCCTGATCAATCAACTTCAGCAGCTTCCTACTACCTTGAAGATCTAATTTAAAGTCCTTTGGCACTGAAAGCTCTTCATAACCTGACCCCCTGCCATCTTTCCAATCTCCTTACACTCCATTCCCCTGCATACTCTCTACATGCCAGCCATACTGGTCACCTTGCTGCTCCTCATACACAGCCCTCCATTTCCTGTCTCTGTTAACTTTGCACTGGCTGTTCTCCATGCCTGGAATGCTCTCCCTCCTCGCCTCCACCTCGTAGAATCCCTGACTTTTTATAAGTTTCAGTTCCTCCGGGAGACCCTTCTTCTGCCCGCTGCTAATGCCATCCCTTTTAAGGTTACCTTCCAAACTATGCTATGTTGATCTTGCATATTCTCATTTAGATATGCTATTTCCCCTATTGGAATTAAGTGCTTAGCGGGCAGGGACCGTTCTTGCTTTTCTTGCTTTTTCTTTTCATCTCCAGCACTAAATACTGGAAATCAGTAAGTACTTAATATATGATGGTAAGGTAATGGTTCCTTTAGAAGAAAGTCTAATCTTCCCAAGACATATTCTAGTTCTGACTCCTGTCTTACTGTCTCAGTAGTACCTCTGAGGTCAAACTTGCATCCTTTGCATAGGATCTAGAAATCATCCATACTTCTGCGTTTGTATGCAAGAATCTAGGGCAGCCAGTTTTTATTACTGGCTCTTTTCTTGGAGTATATTTTCTATGAATTATTAAATGTTTCTACTGTTATTCTTCCCATATTGTAGCTGCTACCCTCTGGTATCTAGAGTGATACATAGCAATTTTTTACCTTCTTCCTCCCATTTTAGTCTAACATCCTCTAAATCAGATTCAAAAGACTCCAGGAAAGTATATTTTAAAATCTCTCATCCCTAGTCAAAAGCCAATCACTCTTCTGTTTTAAGTTGTAGAGAATTCTAAATTGTGTTGTCGGACCCCCATCTTCCTAACCAGCAGTTTACTTCCCAAATCTGCCTTTCTTTATCAAAGCCCCAGTCTTCAACTAGTAACCATGAGGAAAATATCACTTGTACCCCTTGAGACCTTCACCTTCTTGCCAAATACTTCATCATCTCAAGAAATATGTTCTCAATTTCTTCTGGAGGTACCATTTGTCCCCACCTGAATTTCTGGCAATGGGCAATGGTCACCAGGTTAGACAAGTCTTGGGAAACTCTTCATCAAATGCTGGATGTGTAAGCTGGGAAGATGGACATCAGTTGTTAATGTCAAGCCAACAAAAAGCTGCCTGAGGATTTCTCACTTAGGAGTCACTAATCACCACTACATATCTCTTTTCCCTTTAATCCTTAGTGGGTGATCTCCCTCCAGATGCCATCTGTGGATCCATATCATCATTTTTTGGAAACATACATCTATTTCCAGGAGCACATTGGTAAATGTTTAATGATTGCTTCTCAAAACATGATACATTTTTAAGTTTAATTTAAATTATTAACATTTTCCCATCATTTTTAAAAGTCTAAACAAACAGCAAAGCAATAAATCTAGGCCTGATTCGTAATTTTTTGCCAATTTCTGAGTTGTAAGTGCCCATATTGAAAATTTTATAATCTGCTCATAAGTCAGTTTGAGCTGGCTCCAGCACACCTCTGCCATATCCCAGAGGGTCCAGCTCCTCCCTTTGTAGAAATAACTGCATATGTATAGTTAGCTTCTTCTCTTCCATGCTAAAACATCTCTGATCTAGTCCTAACCACTGGAAGAGATATAAGGGAGGAATGAAAGCTATTTTGGCACCGGGTAGACTTCCTTGCCTCTATGTGGGGATCCTCCTTTCCTTCCCCTTTTTCTCATTCTTCCCCACCTCCCACCTTCTAGCTCCCCTGGATGTTGTCTTCCCCTGTTAGAATGTAAGCTCCCTGAAGGCAGAAATTGTCTTGTTTTGGTACCCTTAGTACTTAGCACAATACCTGGTAGGGAACTAGGGAAGAGAATAAACACTTATAAGTGCCAACTACGGGCCAGCCACCATGCCAAGCGCTTTACAAATATCATCTCGTTTGATCCTCCCAATAACCCAGTGTGGTAGGTGCTGTTATTATCCCCATTTTAGAGTTGAAGAAACTAGGAAAAACATAAGTGAACTGTCCAGGATCACATAAGCAGTAAGTATCTGAAGCTGTATTTGAACTCGGGTCTCTTCTGTCTCCAGGCTCAGTGCTCCACCTACCTGCCTCTCTGGTGTGTAATAAGTACTGTATCCATCTCTCTCTGTCTCTGTTTCTGTCTCTCTCTTTTCCCTCCTTCCGCTCCCATCCCCCATCCCTCTCTTCAGTGCTGGTTTTCCTGGGGCTCCCAGGATACTGGATAGATAATTGAGTACTTCCCCTGCCCCATTCACCTAGACGCCAGGACTGCTTTCTGTAGAACAACTGTCATCCAGGGGCAAAGAATCAAGCAAACAGAAGTTAAATCGGGAGCACAATGTTCAATAAAACAGAGGCAAAATCAACTCAATGTTATTCTTCATTATCCTGAGCCAAAATCTGACTCTTTAACTTTTCCCTACGTGTCTTAATTCTGTTCTCTGGAGCAGCCCAGGACAAGTTTACCCTCTCTTTTGGGCATTTGGAGACAGTGATCAAAGTTCCTCCAGGCAAATCATCCTGGCTAAATGTCAAAGGGAAAAAGTTGCAATAAGTACATATTGTATGATTTTATAGGTCCTATGTATA